AACACTTCTCATTTTTCTGGTCTGGATCACAATCTTATTCTACTTACTTACCTTTTCAGGCTGCATCAACTTCTTAGGAGCAATGCATGTTTTAAGTTGCCTCCCTGCTGTGTAAAGTGGTACCTCCTCTATGTGTCCTAAAATGGTCTCTTTTATGCCTCAGGAAGTTCGCTTTGGTTCTAGTTTTCTGGAATTCGATTAAGTCTGTATTTATTTTAGCCGTGCCCGTAGTGATTTTATTGATTTCAATGACACTCCTTCTTAACACTCATTTTTTTTGTTCTGAAAGTCCTAGTGTTTTGATTATATCCAGTCTATGATCTTGGTCATTTAGTTCCCTTTTTCTGGTTCTTCTTTAGTTCTACTCAGAGTCCATCACAGGGGAGTCCTGTCCTGATGCAAAGCTGCGCTTCGGCTATGGGTAAAAGGCATACTCAGAATGTCATAGAGCATTTTCTACACAATATTATTTCAGATAGAAGAACCACTTATAAGCCCACCACCCCCTCTGAATAACCACTTCCACTGTCTACATGCACTTAAAAAAAAATGACATAACCTATGCAGAGTAATTACAAATAAGGTTAAGGAAACATTGGCCCAAAAGTGCATTGCCCCTGAAATTGTGTATGTTTGAAGTCATTTTCAATGCACAGCAAGGGGTGTGCTCGATCCACCTTTATGTTCCATGTAAATTTGTTTTATTTTTGATAACGAAGCCTGGAGAAATAATTCCTGAAGCATCATAACAGCGTTGACTGACAGCTCCGTAAGTGCTGTCTCTTTTATAGCAAATATAACTGACAGCTTGTAGGCAAAGAGCACATGTAGATGGATTGGGTTCACATTGAACACAGTGGGGGAAAACTAAAGAAGATATTTGTCCTATTTGTATTTATTAAAATTCAATTAATATGGTAAAATATATGCATCTTGGGAGAATAGATTTACTTGTAAGCTGAGACAGATTCTGTCTTTAAACTGTTATAGAAGTTTGATATATACCAATTATATACTAAAATTACCTCTCATAAATATTTTTAAGCTGCAGTGAAACTTACATTACTCATTTTCTTACTCCGTGTATATGGTTTACTTAGCCAGGAGTGGTCTAGATAATTAGAGACTTTTCAAGTTGTAGATTTAAATTCCACTCAAGTTATCTTTTGTGGGCACCTGCCTGTGTAGAATAAGTTAAAAATCTGGTCACATTAAAAAAAGAATCTTGCAACGCCCCAAAGAGCTGAATGCAGGGACTCAAACAGATAGCAGGAGGTTTTACTTCCTCACTAGACAGACCTCTCTGTAGGGCTGTCTCATGACATGACATCTGAGTTCCCCAGAGTGGGTGCTTTGAAAGAGAGAGCAAGCAGGAAGCCACAGTACCATTTGTGACTAGTATCCAAAGTCTATTTATCAGAGACAGATCATTAAATCTAGCTCACATTCAAGGGGAGGGGCTACGCCTCTTAAAAGAGAGGAGTACCAAAAAATTGTGGGCATTTTAAAAACCACTACACTGGGTGTATTCCTAAGACTGCTGTAAGAAAGTATCATGAACTGGGCAGCTTAAACAACAGAAATTTATTGTCTCACAGTTCTGGAGGCTGCAAGTCCAAGGTCATGGCGTCCGTAGGGCTGGTTTCTTTTGAGGCCTGTGAGGGAGAATTTGCTACAGATCTCTTTCCTTGCTTCTGGTAGCCTCAGTTGTTCCACGGTTTGTAGATGGCCATCTTGTGCTGTGTCTTTACCTTGTCTTCTCTCTGTGTGTTGTCTCTATATCAAAATTTCCTTTTTTACAAGTACTGTTGTCATAGTGGATTAGGACCCACCCTAATGACCTCATTTTCACCTGACTACCTCTATAAAGACTTTATTTCCAAATAAGGTCACATTATGAGGTACTGGGGGGAAGACTTCAACATCTTTTGTGGGGCACACAATTCAACCCACAATTCAATCAGGTAATATTGATGCTCCTGCTGTGGGTACCACGCTTTTAAGAACCTCTGGTCTAATCCATCCCCTGGTTACACTGATGAGAAATGTAGGTTTTTCCATAAGCTAAATGAGCCACCAAAGGTCAAAGAGCGAGTCTGTGGAGGGCTCAGATGAGAACTCCGATTTCTTGATCCACATTTAATGCACTTTCCATGAACCACAGTGTTTGGTCACCTTTGCCCACAGTTCTCTGAAGATTTCAGTTCTCTGTGGAACCCTTTAAGCCTCCGTGTTTTTTCTAGGCTAAGATTTGCCACATTGATCCACAAAGCCCTGCAGTTCCAGGGATGCTTTCTAGAAATCCTTCAGAGGAGTGTGTGTGAGTTTTCTGGGGACCACATCATTCAGCATTTAAGCTATATACACTGGGTAGGAGAAGAGAGAGAGTAGGGGATGAAGAGGAGATAATAAAGGAGAGAGGAGTAAGAAAATGAGATAAGAGAAATATAGGAAAAAGAAATAACAACTTACTAATTTACACTCCCACCATAGCCTGCCACATCTTTCAGTGTGAATCAGGGTGGGATGGGAGATGAAAATCACCTCTTCCTCTCATATGCATCTATAACATATTTTTAGAAATTAAAGAATAATAATAAAATGAACACCTGTATATCCACCAGTCATCTAAAGACTAGAACATTGGCAGGAGCATTGACGCCCCTGTGTGTCCTGCTCAGGGCATCCTTCTCCCTTCTCTCTGGGGTATTTACTATCCTGAAATTTGTGTGTACTATTCTCTTGCTTTTCTTTATGGCTTTACTACATGGGGATAAACCCTTAAACAATACCTTGCTTAGTTTTACCTGTTTTTGAACTTTATGTAAATAGAATCATACTATGTACGCATATGCGACTTTCTATTTTTCCCTCCACCTGTGAAACTCATCCATATTCGTATGTGTAGGCATGGTTCATTCTTTGTCATGGCCGTATGGTGCTCTCTTATCCATCAATCTTTCTACCAATAGACAGGTTTTTTTATTGTTACAAAAAAAATTGATGCTGTGAACATTCTTATACATGTCTCCTGGTACATGAATTTCTGCACAGTGCATACCTAGGAAAGTGACTGATAGATTGTAGGGTGTGATCATCTTAACTTTAGATCATTGATTAGTTGGTTGGTTTCAGGAGGGCTATACTAACTTCTACTCGTGCCAGCAGCATCTAACGGTTCCTGCTATCTCACATCTTAGCAACACTTGGTGGTGTTAGTCCAACATTTTGACTCTCCTAATGTTTACCTTACAAGCCAACTTTAGAACCAAACCTTCACGTTAGACATGACCCCACTATATTGGACTCTATGATCCTGGTACATAGGATGCCTGATGCTTCTGACATAACAGGTGCTCAGTAAATAAGAGAAAAATTAAATGAATCTAAACCTTAGTTGTTTGGTAAACTTACAGATTTTTTATCATATTTTAAATGTTTATCAGAACATTCCTGATTCCAATCTTTCCTTCTGTCTCCAAATTATGTACCCAATGTCAACCTATAGTGGTGTATTTGTTCTTAAACTTAAGGGCTACACAGGAAATTTAATGCAGCAGTCGAAGTGTTGTCCCTGGAGGTGAGAAATGCTTTTCTATAGTCTGGTAAAAGATGGTTAACATGAATTTTAGAGAAAAAAAAATAAAAGAAAAAACCTCCACAATTACTAACTCTAATTTCAGTACTTAGTTCTTATATGCTCCATGTCATTTTTAAAAAATGGTATAAATTTTGCTTTTATATGCTTATTTGATTGTTTTCTGTGAGACTAAATTTCCCCAATTAAATTTTTTTTTCTTTTTTTTTTTTTACAATTTGTAGGAACTGCTGTTTAAAAGCAACTGTTTTAACGAGCTATAAAGTCTTGGTTCCCAAATGCTAGTTCATGGACCGCTGCCAATTTCTGATGCAAGTTTCACTAGCCTAAAAGGTAATAAGAAGAACAGCAGAGTGAGCTTTTCGCACAACTAAATGCATTCCGTTTGAAGGACCACTCTTTATTCTGAGATTATGTCCTTTCTACCCTTTTAATGTTAAAATGTTCTGCGTTTTAAGAGAGGATGGTGACAAGTAGATGACATTTATTTGCTTGATGACTTTGACCTCAGATTTTGTGTATGTGTGTATTTGTGTTTTAATTTTATTGATCCTTCAAATCTAAATATTTGGAAACCGTTTCAGTGAAGTTCACTACATCATTTAATATGTATCTCGTAGAAGGCATCCCGGAAGTTACTGTGAGGAGCACAGAAGTCTCAGAAAGCAAGGCACACTCATCTCTATTCAATACCTACTTATTTAGTTCTGATCGGGTTTCAAGTAAGGCTTAGTACTAACACTATGGAGAGTGACGTGCAAAGATGAGTACGAACCGGTGTTTCGTCCTCACTGGTTTACAGTTCAGCCTGCGCATCATACAGTTAAGAAACAACGTCACAGGGAGTGCCATGGAACCTAGAGTGGCTTGGCACTTGCTGGAGGAGTGAGGAGACCCTGAACCCTGAAAAATGTGGAAAGGTGGAGAGGATGGAAAACCTCCTAGGAAGGCAGGCAGACGGGAACCAAGGCTTGGACCGCATTCTTGGGTGAGCGAGGAGAGGAGTGGCCGCGCTGGAGTGCGGTGAAGACGGAATGGAAAGGGAGGTGCGGGCGGGCTGCGAGCGTTCCGCAGGTCAGGGAGAACCAGCTCGAGGTGCAGCACTGGACACGGCAAGGGAGGAGTGGTTAAACAGCTATGTGAAAGTCCTATCAAAGAGACCTGCACAGCGACCGAATCCAAGCGGCGCAGAAGAGCAAAGACATCAAGCCGCGGGACCCACTACCGGGTCAATGCACGCCAGGGGCGGAGTCGGACACGCCCCCTTGCTCGCGCACCCAATCAGCGACGAGCCGCCTCGGGCCGCAGGAGCCGCCCCCTGCCTCAAACCTTCGGGCAAGTCCTTCTTCCCAACAGCCTCGGGCATCCGACGCCCATTGCGCCTGCGCAGGCCCCAGGCTCCGCCCCTTCTCCCTCCCGCCCGCGTCTCCCATTACCAATATGGCGGCTCCCTGTGTGTCCTGCGGGAAAGCTGTTTCCTACCGCTTCTTTCTTGGGGCTAGGGTTAGTCTTGCCCGAGAACAAGGCCTCTGGAAAGCCGCGGCTGCTGAGGTGCAGACAGGTACCGCATCCCAGGTAAGCCCGGGAGAAGTGGAAGTGCTGGTCTCTGTAGCGCGAGCATGTGGAGCCGGCGCCGCCACCTACCCTGGCGTCTCGCGTGCTCTCAGACGGGGACCCTAGGGTCTCAGGTATTTAGTAGAGGTCTGAGGTTGAGAGGAGGAGTGGGTATTGCCTTGCAGCGGCTTCCGGAGTAGTTTTCGCAGGACGCACTCCGGGGGGAGGACGGAACTACGGCGACCGCTCCCTTGACTTGTCTGCCAGGCTGGGAGAGGCCGGTGCCGAGGTGTGTCGAGGTGCGGTTCTCCGCGGGCCTCGCGGTCCACAGGGGAGGCGGGCCGGAGCGGTTGATTGGGAACTGCACTCGTGCGGTGGCCTGGAGGACTTAATGGACCAGGTCGCACAGTGGAGAGAATAAATAGAGACTTTTTAAAAGTGTTTTACATCTGTGCAGTTTCCATTTTCTTAATTTTCCCAATATTTTGTCTTTGGAGAGATGGAGACCAGAACTTGTTTCATTTAATCCTGAGGGCAGTGGGAAGCCAAGAGTCCAGTTTTACAGCTGATTGCATGATGACGCGTCTCACTGACATGGGACCTCGGGAGGAGGAACAAGATTTGAGAGAGAAGAAGTTTAGTTTTGGATACAATTGCATTTGTTATACAGTTATGGTTGAGATGTCCAAGCAGAAGTTTCCAGTAGGCCCGTAGAGAGGCACGTCTGTAGTTCAAGAAGAGAACTGGTTTACAAGCCATCTGTTGCTTTGTAGATGGTGATAAATTAGATCCCCTAGGGAGGGTGTACTGACTGAGAAATAAGCAAAGGGACAGGGCCCTGAAGGACAGTCAAGAAAGAGGAGCCCCCAGGAGATTGAGAATGAGCTGCCAAAGAACTAGGGGGAAAACCAGACAGTGTGGTGTCATGGAAAACCGGAGAATATTTCCAGGAGGGAAAGTGATAAACAGTACCAAATATTGTAAAGAAGTCAAATACTATGATCTAAAACTATATCGAAAAAAGGAATACTATCTTTTTTGCGTCTTACTTCTTTTATATTTTAACCCAAATCAACCATACCCTCCATTCATTTATCCATCAAACATTTGTTTTTATTGGAATATGCTGGAAGTTTTTATTTTTTCATGCATCTCTTTTGAGTATATCCTTCCTGTATGCACATAATTATCTATAAAAGGGACTGTGGCACACAGAGTGTTGTTATTGTTGACACTAAGTGTGTGTGTGTGTGTGTGTTGGGGGAATAGTTGCTAACTTTCTCTGCCTCCCTTGAACTCTCCAACCTATGTGTTTTTCTGTCTTTCTCTATGTTCTTTTAATCATATATAAGCATGCATGCATATGCATGCTTTCCAAAAAATAGATCCTGTTCTACTTTTTGCTTCTCTAACTTACGTACATAGTAGAAATCCCTGCAAGTCACCTGCTAGGTATCTAGCTGCTGCATGATATTCTATGGTATGAATGTATCAAAGTTAATTTAACAAAGGTCATTTGCTTTGTTTCCATTTTGTTCCCACTAATAAAGTGTTCAGTAAACATCTTGGTATAACTCTTAGGTACTTATGCTTCTATTTCTGTAGGAGAGAGTTCCAGTTTTGAGGTTATTGCTGCAAAAGATGTCTATCATTTTAATAGGTGTGTGGCTTTTTTTGGGGGTGAGGAAGATTGGCCCTAAGCTAATGTCTCTTGCCAATCCTCTTTTTGCTTGAGGAAGATTGGCCCTAAACTAACATCTGTGCCAATCTTCCTCTATTTTGTATGTGGGATGCCTACCACAGCATGGTTTGATCAGCAATATGTCGGTCTGCACCTGGGATCCGAACCTGTGAATCCTGGGCTGCTGAAGCGGGGTGTGTGAACTTAACCACTAAGCCACCAGGCCGGCCCCACCTTTTAATAGCTATTTTTTTTGAGGAAGATTAGCCCTGAGCTAACATCTGCTGCCAAATCCTCCTCTTTTTGCTGAGGAAGACTGGCCCTGAGCTAACATCCATGCCCTCTTCTACTTTATATGTGGGACACCTGCCAGCATGGCTTGCCAAGCGGTGCCATGTCCACACCTGGGATCCAAACTGGTGAACCCTGGGCCACCGAGAAGCGGAACTTACGAACCCAACTGCTGCGCTACTGGGCCAGCCCCTTTAATAGATTTTTAATAGATATTTTTTAGTAGATATTTCCATATAGCTTCCCAAAAAGGCTGAGGCACTTTACTTTCCATCACTGATGTGTGAGCGTGCCCCTTTTCTACCTGCAGTAGGTATTATTTTTTCAATAAGATGACTGAAAGATGATTTCTCCTTGTTACTTTAATTTTCATCTCCCTGACCACTCTTGAAATAAAACTTTTTTTTTCCATATGGTGAATGTTTACTGAACACTTTACTTGAACCAGGCACTGTGAAGTAAACAAATTATAGTCAAGCAAGGAATTACCAAACACTGTCAACCCCTAGCACTCTCAAGGGATGGTCCTGAGATGGCTGAATCCCCAGATTCCTGAATGCCACCACAGCATATATTTTTCCACAACTGGAAGAGTTAACTGACCCCGCCAGACCCTTAGTGACTCCATCCATACAGCTAAAGACATTTATAAAGCGTTTTTTCTGGCACAGAGCTTGTCTGTCTTAAATATTTCTTCACTTCCATCTCCAACATTAATAGTTATATTTCTCTTAGGGGCCATGTCTCATAAAAACCAGAATTTTTAATCACTTCATGAGTGGCTAAAGCACTATGCTTTTTTTTTTTTTAATTTGGATCATAACCCAGTAGTTATGAAATCTCTTCAGAGGTTACAGGCAACTTAAAGAAGGGAGCGGGGGAATACAATAATAATAAGAGGCAAAGTACGTCTCTTACAGGGTAAGTATTTTTGCATTTTACTTATATGTATAAGTGTGCAGTATGTGGTGATATAAACGGTAGCTGTTACTGTTTGTCACAGTTAAAAAAGTTTGAGAATCACTGATGCAACAAGGAAAGAGAAACAAATTTTGTTAAGCTACAACACCTGGGTGCTCAGGTGGGACCCTGACTAGCAGAATTCCTCCTGCATACCAGTGTTGTGGCATAACATATAATTGCAGATATATGAGTGTCCCAGATTTGGGTGGGGGAGGGAATCTTACTTATGAATGGCCAAACTTCTCAGATTATAAACCTGTGGATGTTGGAGATCTACATAACAGTGTACTGGGAGGTTTACAGAGGTAAATACAGAAGAGCGCAGAAGTGCAATGGCTAATTCAAACGAGTGGTAATGGATAGAGCCGTGGGCAGCTTCTCAGAGGAGATGGTTGTCAGGTCTTCAGTAGTAATTAGGAGTTAGAAGAAAAAGAGAGAGATTCTGTTCTAGGACAATGTAATAGGTACACAAGGGACAGAGGTACAGAGTCAGTGGGTTCTGGCAGCAACAAATAATTGATTGTAGCAATTATAATTGGCATAGTATTTGGCGAGAGAATAGTGAGATGGGATTGGACAATTTGGCAGTGTCCAGATTATGATCTCTTTTACTGTGCTAAGGTACTTCAATTTTTTAATCTGTTACAAAAGAAAGTAGTGGATTATTATAAGCAGTTGACAGTCATGATGTCCTATAAAGATTACCCGTGAATCCTCAAATTCTTTATCAATATAACTTAATGTAGGAATGCTAATTTAGTTTTCTGTAGTGTTTATGACTTTAATAATAAGGAAGAGCAGTAGACCAATTTCTATTTTGAAAAGTATTACTACAAAATATCAATAATATGTCGTCTTAATGTTATTTTCTACTGAGCACTTTCTTGGTGCTTAAACTTTTCATTTTTAGTGAACCAATATACCTTTGTTGAATTGGACTGTCTGCCGGAGAAGAAAGATTGATGACGTTTGGTGGCTTAGCCCTTGTATATTTTGGTTTTATTGTACAAACATTGCTGCCTCTGTTTTAAGTATCTGTTCTTTTCATCTCTCGTTTTATAGGCTCCTGAAGATTATAATATCCTAAACTTTATTGATAAATTGCTAAAAAACTGTTTGAAAAACAAATTTGAAAATTGACCTGCATTTGTATCAGATGCTTTATACTGCTTTGTATATTAGTTATGTTTTCTCTCAGATAATTTTTGATAATTTTTTTAAAAAATCCCAGTTTATTAGTAATGGAAAAGAAAACCTCTTGGGTAGGGTAAATTGTTCTCTTTGAGATCTCATCCTGTCCTTTTAAGGATACATTTATTGTGGTCCTCATTGCTTTAATTATGGAAAATACTGGGACATTAAAATTTGATTTTCCTTATGTAGCAGTTTACAAGTTTCTTGTTTAAAGAATGCTTGATAATAGCTGCTACCATTATTCTCATCTCTCTTTTCCTTATAAAACAAGATCAGCAAACTTTCTTGTTGTATGCTTCATTGTTTTTGGGATGATGAATGAATTTGTTATTTGTTGCTGCATAACAAATCCCTCCAAAGTTTAGCAGTTTAAAACAACAGACATTTGTTACCTCACAGTTTCTGTGGTTCAGGATTCCAGGCGCAGGGTCTTCTGGGTCTTCTGCTCAGGGTCTCCCATAAGGCCTCAGTCCGGGTGTTGGCTGTGGCTACAGTCGTCTCAAGGCTGGAGGGTGGAAATCTACCTCCCAGCTTGCTCAGTGTGGGTATCAGCAGAAGGCATTCTTGCAGGCTATTGGGCTGGCCCTTGGCCGGAGGCTGCCTTCCGTTCTGGCCACCTGGGCCTCTGTAGGGCAGCTCATCACATCTGGCTTCAATCTGGTTGGTCAAGAGGGGGTGAAAAGAGGGAAGACAGTCCTTTTGTAACCTATCTCAGAAGTGACATGCTATCACTATAGTAGTGTGCTGTTCATCAGAAGCACGTCACTGTCCAGCTCACACTCAAGGGGCGGGGATTGCACAACTGCGTGAGTACCAGGCTGCAGGATCACTGGGAGCCATCTTGGAAGCTGCCTACAACCCACATAAACTTCTTTTTTTATTATCTATGCAT